AGGGGCTGGGCTTTTAGCAGTTGGATGCAGGATGTCCTTGGAGAGGATACATGACTTCGGGTGAAGCAACTCCCTCCAGCTGGTGGCAGTTCTCAGAGAACAACTCAGCTGAATGCTCATTGCAGCAGAGGAGGGAATGAGCACTTGAGTCCAGATGGATGTGTATCAGAGTATCCACCACAGACACCACACTTTCTCCTTTACTTTACCCCACAATCCACATACCCAGCCTCAGTATAAAAATATCACTGAAACTATGATTACTGAAAGCAATTTAGTATGGGGGTGATGCAGAGGGCAGGTCTTTAGTGATGTATTGTTAAGTGCTTAAGAGTCATGTGAAGTAGTTCCTCTCTGGGTGACTTGAGAACCAACTCACTGCATAGTTCAGTTCATTTGCTTTGCTTTCAACTTTTAGGGGGTCCTTTTTCAAAATTTAACTTTGTTTACTAAATATGTACTTACTGATATATTTACATGATCCTAAAACAAGTGACATTCAGAGAAGTCTAGCTTCTGTCCTCAACCTTCTGTCCTGTTTCTGCCCTCTCATTATATCTTTTAAAATTTATATTCATTCTTCCATTAAAAAAATGCAAACTTGTTCTCCTCTTTTCTCAGACAGCTGATGGCATATTGCAATGATAAATTTTATGTCAACTTATCTGAGCAATAGGGTGTCCAGATATTTGGCCAAACATTATTGACAGTGTTTCTGTTGAGGGTGTTTTTGGATGAGATTAACAGTTAAATTCCCAGACTGAGCAAAGCAGATTGCCCTCCCTAATGTGTATGGGCCTCATCCAACCCGTTGGAAGCCTCAATAGAACAAAAAAGGTCGACTCGCCCTTGAGTAAGAGAGAATTCCCTCTGCCTCACTGCCCTTGAACTGAGGCACTGGCTTTTTCCCGCTTTTAGACACGAACTGAAATATTGGCTCTTCTTGAGTCTCACGCCTTTGTACTGGAACTACACCATTGGCGATCCTGGGTCTTCAGCTTGAGACTAACCCTGCAGACCTTGGAACTTGTCAACCTCCTCAAATGTGTAATCTAATTCCTTATAATACATGTCTTTTTTTTTGAGTTGGAGTCTCACTCCATCGCCCAAACTGGAGTCCAGTGGCACGCTCCCAGTCACTGCAGCCTCAACCTGCTGGGCTCCAGCAATCCTTCCACTTCAGCCTTCTAAGTAGCTGGAACTACAGGCGCGCGTGCTACCATGCCCGGCTAATTTTTCATTTATTGTAGAGATGAGGTCTCGCCAAGTTGCCCGGGCGGGTCTCGAACCCGCAGGCTCAGGCAATCCACTCACCCTGGCCTCCCAAAACGCTGGGATTACAGGCTGAGCCACTGAGCCTGGCCTAATACATGTCTTTGTATATCTTCTACTGGTTTTGTTTCTCTGAAGAACCTTGACTAACATGCATTCCATATATACTTTCTTCACATATATGTGTGTGTGTATATACATATATATTTAAAAGATTTTGGATTTACCTTCCAAAAGCTACAATATATAGTTCCTATTTATCTTGACATTTCATAAGCACAGCTGTCTTAAAATATATATTTTTTGAAAGGAAGTCTCCCTCTCACCTCAATTTTGTTATATTAAACACTAAAGTTTTTTCAGGTAAAAAGCTATTTCCATTAGTACAAAAACTGGAATTATAGTTGGCCCTTTAACAACATGGGTTTGTACTGCATAGTTCCACTTACACAAAGATTTTCTTCTGCCTCTGGCACCCCTGAGACAGCAAGCCCAACCCCTCCTTTTCCTCCTCATCCTACTCAGCGTGCAGACAATGAGGATGATGATTCACTTCTATTTAATGAATAGCAAATATATTTTCTTATGATTTTAATGTTTTCTTTTCTCTTGTTTACTTTATTGTAAGAATACAGCATGATATATAACAGTGTCAACTGACTGTTTACATCAACAGTAAGCTAACAGAAGTTAAGTTTTTGAGAAGTCAAAAGTCATATGCAAGTTTTAGACTTTAGGAAGTGATCATCGCGAATGCCCATGTTGTTCAAGGGTCAACTATACATCAATAAACATACAAAATAACCAACATAAATAATATTTAACTCTACATTATGTTTGTCAAATCTCCTAAAATGTGTTTTTCTTAGTGTCTTCTTTCCTTGAATCCATTTTCCTGTTTCAGTCTTCACTAATTCAGGACTGCTGCAAAGTTATGTTTCTGAGATTCACCAACATCCTATAACTTTCCTTCATCTTTCTCCTGTGCTGTATCTATTGGTACTAGATCTCTTGTCCTTTTATAATGTATTCCCTTGCATGGGTGATAAACATCTTTCAGTAGCTTTCTGAGGAGAGAATGAAAAATACATTGCATTATGAAAGTATATTTACTATACCTGCACTCATAACTGAAAATGTGGCTGGCATGAAATTCTGGGTTGAAAATTATTTCTTCTCAGAATGTTTAAGTCATTTCTCCTTGTGTTTGGCTTCAAATGCTGATTCTGGATCTTCTGTAAGTGATGTTTCTATCCCTTCCTCCCCAAAGGTTTTAGTCTCTTTTAGAATTACAATGATGTACAATGATGTCTGAAGGTGTGTCCCCCCAAAATGCACAAGCTGAAACCTAATCCCTAATGCAACAGTAATAATAGGAGGTAATTAGGCCATGAGGCTGGAGCCCTCATGAGTGAGATTAGCGTCCTTATAAAAGAAACTCCAGGGAGCTCATTTGCCCCTTCCACCATGTGGAATGCAGCAATAAGATGCCTTCTATGAGAAATGGGCCTCACCAGACACTGCTGGTACCTTGATCTTGGATTTCCCAGCCTCCAGAACTGTGAGAAATAAATTTCTGTTGTCTAAAGCTACTCAATCTAAAGTATTTTGTTATAGCAGCTAAGGCACTTGGTATGGGTCTTCTTTTCCTTAATTGCTAGGCACCTAGTGGGCCTTCAATCCTATAGAATTTTCTGTGAAATACCTTTGAAACATCCTAAACTGTCTGCTAAAGTATTCAAAGGGAGATGCATTTATTTCACTCACAGGTACCAGGGTGGTGCTAATTTTCCCTCACCTCCATATTGTGCATGCATGAGTACCAAGAGGGTCCCCACAACATTCTAGCTTGGAGAGAGGTTGCCAGGCAGGGAGCAGGTTATAGCTAGGCAATATCCAGTTGTAGTTGGGCAAAGCTGGCCAAGACCATGAAAATTTGGTTGCTATGCCATGAAAAATTAGTTGGGCAAAGCTGGTCAAGACCATGAAAAATTGGTTGCTATGGCTGAAGTAAGTGGTTGACCGAGAGCATTTTGAGGTGACAGGAGGAGTCTGATATACTGGGGATAGTGATGCTTTTAATTCTTTAAATGTTTTCCCTATTAGCTTGATTATGTTGCTTGTTTTGGTCTCTACCTTTCATATTAGCAGCTCTCCTCAAATGTTTGCTGATTTTTGGCTCTGCTCATGTGTGAGCCCCTCAAAACCTTATTGGAAAGCGATGTGTGCATGGGAGAGGGTTTTCAATAGAAGGGCACAAGTGGAGGATAATATGGATGACCCATATTAATAGGGAACCTGAAAACATCTATTCCCCTAGAGAATAAGTTAGTATCTCTGACCTGAGGACAGGGGAGAGTGGATTATAAATCTGTCTACCAACAGTCTGGGAGCTGAGAGGGAAAGTGGGCTGAGATACCACCATTCAGAAGGTATTTAGGGTAATCTCCTGGTTCTTAGTTCAGTACCATGCCCTCAGCTGTGTATCTGCAGTCTCCTGCAGGGTTGAAAGAAAGGCAATTGCTAAAGTCTGTGATTTGGTGAAGGGGATATGAGTCTATCTGCTTCCACACAGACTTCATGGTAATTCTATTTTTAGTTCCACTGGTACCTCCATTTCCTAATGTCTATGTGTGTTCTGGGATGCAAATCCACATGCTTCCATGATTATTCCATTAATTTCAGCTTCCTTGGGTTTGCTCAGTTATATATTCAAACACACTCATTCACAACCTTTCCAGCCTCCCGAATTTTGAAGCTATTATCACCTCTCTGATTGGTTTTGTACATTTGGGTCTACATCACTAAAAAATTCTTTACTGTCACTTTATTGCAGTTACACAAATGTGAATAAGTGTGTTTAATAGCCCATATTTAACTGGAAGTTTCTGCATTACTTCTCAAAATACCAAAAAGTTTAAAAAAGTATTTAAAAAAAATTTTTTTTTAAATTTTATTTTAAAGATGTGGTATACAATTCTGGGTTAGGTATACAATTCTGGGTTAGGTATACAAATGGTCATTGTAGAGATAAAGTTTGGGCCTCATTTTGATCCCCTCTTCACCTGGTTTGAGATCAGTTACCCTTATCGATGAAGTGTGCTCTCCCCTGGCAGTTTCCCATTACTGCCAATCCCTTTCTTATAGTATTATGATAATTGTTCAGTGTCCACTTATGAGTGTAAACATATGGAACTCAGTTCTTTGTTTCTGTGATAGATCACTGAGTATTATAGACTCTAAGTCCATCCAAGTTGCTTCAAAGTTCATAATTTTGTCCTTTATGGCTGCATAATATTCCATCATGTCTGTGTAGTACCACTTTTTAAAAAAAATCCAGTCCACTTTCGATGGGCAGCATGGTTGGTTTCATGTTTTTGCTATTGTGAATAATGTTACCACCCACAAATAAACATCGTGAGAGGTTGACAATCAGGACATTAAGGAACTCACTCTCTCTTGTCCATTCTGCTACTGGCTCCTTGCTGTTTATTAAATACTTCAAGCACACCACTGTCTCTGGGCCATGCCATCTGCTATTTCCTGTCTAGACTGACTCTGGCTCCAGAAATTCTCATGACACCCTCCCACTCCAGATCTCATTTTACACAATATGCTATGAAATACACTTCTCTTGATGTGTGAAATAATTGGGTTTTGGAATAATTTAACGAGCTTCCGAATACTGAAAACACGAGTATAAAATAAGTCAACATTAACAGCTGCTAAACAGTGATAAAATATATTTTTATTTACTTTGTTGAGTCAGAGGGTTGTAAAAAAAATTATTGCTAAAGTAGTTATCAGACAAACAGAAAGGTGCTTTAGAAGTCCAGTTACCTTGGAGTTTATTTAAACTAAGAGAAAAAGGTCATAATGTTTTCATGCAATACATACTTGGTTTTTTAAATAACAATTTTGTGACAAACAGCAGAAGGAATTAAGGAATGCTGTACTTGTGATCCATACAAAACACCATTTTAGGTTGTACATAATTAAAGAAAACCTCAAACACTTTTCGAAATACTGTAGTAGCCAATACATAGAGGCTTGCCTTAGGTGGGCATAGGAATGCAGTTTAGAAAAGAAAAGAAAAAAAAATCACATAGTAACTACTCAATTTCTTTAAAATCACCGAGAAAGAAAAGAAACATTGATCTTTCATACTGATTTTACACAACTTTCTATACAGTACCTTGACTTAAATCCAAGAGCAAAAGTTAAGACTCTCCTCCGCTATTTTTGGTAAACAACTGCATGGTAAACTTAGATGTCTTTTCCCCCTGGATTTTACCTGGGAGTGGCCTTTTAAATTTTTTACTTAAAAGAGGGCAGGTTTGGCACTTTTATACTGATGTCACCAATGTTAATATTTCTTGGGATCTCAGGAAGATTCATATTCTTTACAGCAGATACAGCACGGGCTGGAGCTCCTGCTAAGCCAGCCTGTATACAGAAGCAAATAAAAGAAAAAGAAATGTACAACTCAGGAGTAGCTCATCATAAAACACTTACAATGGAAGACAATGATAAAAGATTTTTATATAACAAGCTTAGAGACCAGATGGTAGTTTGAATTGGTATGGAATGGTTACTTTGAAATACTAATCTATAAGGAGAAAACAGTGACACATTAAAAAATACAGTGAATACATGCAATGATAACAATGTAAAGATTAAAATACAGATTATGTACTACTACACAATATTCACATGACAAAAGCTAAATCTTCACCTACATCTTGATTTAACTGACATAAGCACAAAGCATAATTTACATTAGTTTCCTTATTAAATATCTCTTGCAACAATCATGATAGATTTTCTTTTGCTCTTAAATGGTATTTATGTGCTGTGAAATAAAAAATAAATGTAATAGATCATGCTTGCATAATTTCTTTACTCAGGGCTAAGCCCTAAAAACATTTTAAGACAAAATCAGTTTTTAAAATTGTGAGGGCTCTTTAAACTTTTCTAAGAAGTTTTAGAACACTTAAAAAAAAAAAATCAGGCTTTTATGTGAAGCCTCAATCCAAAGAGAATAGTTCTGCCTAAAGAGGAAACTACAAGAAGAGGATCATTCCAACCCTTCAATGCTTTAGCAAAAATATAATGATTAAAATATTTTGTCATATAAAGTAGATTCACAATGAATGCTCAGTTTACAGTGTACAAATTAGAGAAATGACAGCATAAATGCAAGAGGTAGTATATATAAATAAATGGATTCTAAAATTTCCAGTAAGTATCACTAAGTATGTAACATTTGGCTTTTCTCTAGTAGGAAAATTTATAATTTTTGAAAGAAAATAAAGGAAAAATGTATATATATAATTTTTCTCAAATGGTTACATCAATAGCCTTCATATTTAAGGTTTAATTTATATACCAATTGGATTTTACTAATTTTTATTCAGGCTATAAAATAAAGCAAAGCCAATAAATACATCTGAGTTCAGTGGCATCACATTGTACAAAAGTAGACAGGTAACAAAAACAAATCATCTACTTTGTTTAGATCATATATATATATATAAGACAATGCCCATAAAATCAGAAACACTAGTTTTAAGGTTCCTTTTCATAATTTTAGTTTTTTCTCTCATGTAATCCTACCTTTGTTAATTAAAATAAAAATAATAATAAAGCTGTTACCTGAGAAAAATCTTGACTGATACAAAATAGGCCAGTGTAAACTATTTGCTGAATAAAGGACACAAACATTGTTAAGCAATAAAATAAAAGCCATGGATTATCAATTAAGAATTGGAAATAGTAGAAAAATTAGTAAAATAGTATTAATAATAGATATGTTCTACACAGGCAATGATAAGGGTGATATGGATGAATAACTCCATACCCAATTAAAGACTAATTAGAGCTGGAGAATTTGATTCTTATAATTTAATGAAGCTTAGTTATTTTTGATGTACAACTAAAAACTTGATTGCCCTCTACATTTATACCTACCTGAAGCAATGAAATTTTTGTTATACCCCACTTCCCTTCTACTCTCCCAAGAGATACAACTAAACAAAATTTAGAGTAGCTGTATGTATCATATTCAAAAGGATCTTTAATTTGATCATTTCAAGTTAAAAGGTCTAGTCACCAAAATTTAGAATGGTTTAGGATCAAAGAAAAATACTTCAAAGAGGTTTACCAGCTTATAGGCTTTCTTTTACCAGGAAGTATGCTGTCTTCCAAGGGAATACAAATTATTTTACAAAACTGCAGACATCCTGGAACTATTATCATGTTTTAGATAAGAGAATTTTGTAATTTTTCTAATTAGTAGACTGATTTGTCACTATTTTTTTACTTTGAAATTTCCATAAAGGACAGATAATGAGTAGACTATAGAAAAGTATTGAGAAAATATTTGAATATAAATATTTTAATACTCATGAGTTATTAAAGGATTATTGTGAAAGAGAAAAGAATGAGAGCACATGTGTCTGTGTATTTTACTGGATGTTATGATTACATTTATAAATAGTAAACATAATTTTTCAGTATTAAGCTAAATCTTAGAGATTTCTTTTCTATAATATGCTGTACCATGAACAGGTAACTAAACTAAACTTAAGCAAAGAAAATGAGAATTTAAAGAAACACATCCTCTTAAATTTCATTAGATTAAGTTGTTTGTGACCAAATATGGTGTCGATTGGCTGCTAATGAGAATACATAAAGTCAATATAGCAATTGCTTTAAATAGCATACATATGCTTATTATATAAAACCAAACAAGTAGCTTAGTACAACAAACTACAATTCTTCTAAACATAAGCAGCAAGCCATAGACATGCAAAGGATGGGAACTACTCAGAACACGCAAATGAACTAGGAGAATCAAATTATTTCTCAAGCATGTTCAATACTTCTGTGTAGTATGTCATGAATTTAAATGGTAGGGAATTTTAAAGCTGTAATATGTACTTTAAGTTTTAATTAAACTGATATTTTAAGAAATCAGATTCTGCAGAATACAAAATGTAAAGAAAATATGACAAGGATGGTGTAGCAGTAAGTAGATGCTTAAGTATAAATGTTTATATATAAAAACTTAAGGCTTAAAAAAAAGACTTTATGTTACTCAGATAGTCAACACCAGAATGGCTAGAACACAAATTCATTTTCAGACTTTCATGAAAGTGAAGTCTGAAACATTTTTATTAAAACATGAAATGTAAAAGAAGTAATTTGTCATTAGGAAATTAGTTTGCTAACAAAGAGGTGTAACATAATTTTCATCTTGGTTAAGATTTTTTTCTCAGTAAGATATACTCAAACAACAAGATAACTTTTAGTAACATTTAGCTCTTCAACACTAAAATTTACAGAAATGAAGTTGACCTATCTTGCTAGTAGTACAGTAGTCCCCCCTCATCTGCGGCTTTACTTTCCAGTTTCATTTTCCCACGGTCAACCGCGGTCCAGACTGGTGAGTACAGTACAATATTTTGAGAGGGAGACACCATATTCACATAACTTTTCTTTTTTTTTTTTTTTTTTTTAAGAGATAGGGTCTTGCTCTGTTGCCCAGGCATGCAGTACAGTGACATAATTACATTACAGCTCACTGCAGCCATGAGTTCCTGGGCTCAGGTGAGCCTCCCAGTTCAGCTTCCCAAATTGCTAGGACTACAGGAACACACCACCATGCTTGACTAATTATTATTTTAATTTGTGTGTGTGTGTGTGTGTGTGTAGACAAGGTCTCATTATGTTGCCCAGGCGAGTCTTGAAGTCCTGGGCTCAAGTGATCCTCCAGTCTCAGCCTCTCAGAGTGTTGGGATTATAGGCATGAGCTACAACACCCAGCCTCCCACAACTTTTATTACAATACATGTTATAAATGTTCTGTTTTCCTATTAGTTACTGTTGTTAATCTCTTACTGTGCCTTATTTATAAATGAAACTTTATCATAGGTATGTATGTATAGAAAAGACAAAAGGTATATACAGAATTCAGTACTATCTGTGGTTTCAGGCCTTCACTGGGGGCCTTGGAATGTATTCCCCACAAATTAGGGGGTACATTGTATATATACATTTTAAAGTGCAAAAATAAGACATTTCTGATAGTATAGCACAATATAGTTCTTAATGATTTAATATTATAGTTGACACAAGCAGAAATAAAAAGAGTGAGATTCTACTGGAGAAATAACTTGTTTCCATCTATATTATACTTGAGGACCATCATGGCAGGTAAACCGCAGCAACTACACTCATAAAAACAAACATATGAATCCAAAGCAGTTAAGAGTATGAATTGGATGAAAGAATGAAGTACAGTATATAAAAGGATGGTCATGTTTTCTCTCCCATGAGATTAAAAAAATTAACGGAATTAAGAGAAAGAAAACAAAATGAAGTCTGCAAGTATACCAAAATGAGGCCAAACAGATAGAAGACTTATACAGACATACTCTTGGAAATTTCAAGCACTTGAATCACAAAGATAGTAATGGATGGATATGATTTGTTTTTGATTTTGTTTTTAATTTGCCAGACCCAAAAATAAACAAAATATGTGCAAGCAAAACTGAAAAGGCAGCATCACTAAAATATATTTCAAAGGCTCTGAAAGCTCCCTTTTCTTCATGCAATAAAGTTAACTTTCTTGAAGGGAGAAGGAAAGTACTACTTTCCTTCTGTTATTTATTTCATCTAAGACACAAAATACCATCCTACCATCTTAAAATATATTTTTCAAGTCTGAAGTGTAGCATAATAAGATGGTAGTTGGAATAATCTGTACATACTAAAACCTTTACCCACCCTTCCTGCTGGAAGGTGCTATATGCACATTCATAACTTTGACCTAACAGCAAAGTGAAAAAACACCAACATTAATAAACACAGTATTAAATGGTTTCAGACTCAAAATCATTAACAAAATAATGACAGATTTTGAAAGCATATTTTGGAATAGAAAATTTCAATTTTTAAAATAATTTCTGAATATGAAGCAGAATAACTTAATCTGGGTATTTACAACAGGCTTGTTCTTTGCTTTAAAGGCAGTGTTTTTAATACAGCAATTATAAACAGATTTAGAAATGCTGATGACACTCCTCTAATGAGTAAAAACAATTTTATCAAAATTAGAATGTTGAAAAATTTTAAAACCTTCCAAATTACTAATCATTTTATATAAAGTATCTTCATTTATAGTTTTAATTTTCACATAGAATTTACCTGTGTGAAATAAGTATAGCAGACTAATGACTTTTATGGATTTATTATTACTAGTTTTGATCATCATTAAGTGGCCTCATCATAATTTTGTAGAAGTACAAAATGAATGTGCATGTCAAGGCAGAAAAGTAGAACCAATTCATAAACTGACCTTCCAACATCTGTACCTTAGGACCGCTTTTGTTATTCTCTGCTTTTTGAGAATAGAAATTTGATTTTTTTTTAAAGGTCACTTA